CTTTTTCAATGTCCTGTCCCCCCGCCCCCGCCCCCCCCCCCGAACTCTTAAGTAGCCTTGATAATAGTGAAGACTTAATCTGTGCAGCAGACTGCTTTGCATAATCTTCTAAATTTTCAGTTAATTTTGGAAGAAGGCTACTTGAACAGAATAGTGCTGAAAGCTCACCTGAAATTACATGAACCATTGTATTCTTAATCTTTTATTTTGCACAGTAAAAGAAAAGTATTAATATCTTTGAACATTATAGCATCAAAGTACCTCAATTTCTGATACCCTGTCTTCTGTGCACCACTTTGAAAAGATGTGCTGTTACTGCTTGTATAGGCAGAGAAGGCTTAAGGGCGGCAGTGGCTGTACAAGTGACTTTATAAAGAATCATTATAAGATTTCTTAGCTGAACCACTGCATAAGCCAGCCCTTTACCATACCCATGGTCACATTCTTCCTACTTTTGACATATCTACTGCAGTCCTGTATTTTCCTGTGACAAACACTGTGATTTATATACATCTAAAATAACAATCTTCTGGCAGCCCTGGGTAGAGAATGAAATGGATAATTCATTAACTCAGAATGTTATACTGGATGTTTTCATACTGACCTTCTGCTTATATTTTAATGAAGTTTAGATGCATTATAACATAGCTACTTGTTGAACAGAATCACCTGTAAGTTGCACCCGCTCTGTAGATGAGCTATCCCCTGCTCAGAAATTAGTGTCATTCTCACTAATAGTTTGCCTTTTTATTTAACATCATATTTAAAAATCCATTGAAATCGATTGAAACACGTACACGTATTTTTAAGTAATTCATGAAGTGAAATAGGCTGTTCTAAAAAGATATTCATGCAACAGCTAGGGCAGTGCTTAAGGCTTGCTCATTTTTAGTGCTGTTGTGCCTGTGTAACTTCTCCCTCAGTGAAGAAGGAAATAGCTGCTTTTCAAGAACAGGCAGGCTATTAGTCACAGCTCAGCATCTTGCAGGGTTTTTAAGTACTCCCACTGTTTGCAGCACCCTGTTAACTTCCATGTGTTAAGTGCTGTCTGACTTAAGGGGGTTGTGTAGCACCTCCTCTGTCTTTCCTGATCATCCAGACCTCACTAGGAGGTGGGTCAGGATAGAAGGGAGCATTGCAGGTGCAAGTGGAAGGGCAAGTGGTGGACTTGGCAGTGTTAGCTTTACAGTTGGACTTGATGATCTTAAAGGTTTTTTCCAACCTAAATGGCTGTATGGTTCCGTGAGTCTATGTATGAAATTCTGGAATTAGGTTTCACAGTTCCCTTTTTTAAAAGGGTGTCATATTCTAATGCTTTAACAAAACTCCTGAGAACAATTCTGTTTCCCCTTCATGCCAGCATCTGATTGCTTAAAGCTGTCTGTGGTAAAACCATGTGCTTGAAACTGATCTAGCCCAAGGCGTAACCACTTCAACCCCCTCTGAAACAGACTTTCTCAAAGGTATATAAACAAATCACTACAGAAATACCATTTACTTAGTTACACTTAATTACATTATAGTTTAGTATTGTTAAACTTGCAGATGTCAGAAGACACAAAGATTCAACAGCTGTCCGAGTTTGCTTCTGTGTAGATGGTAACGTTGTTGATCACCTTGGTTAAGTAAGGTGCGTAATCAGAAATGAGCAAATCTGAGACCATCTGCATCTGTAATGACTCAACAGACTTCTTCCTAGAGTAGTGTTGCAATGTGTCTCAGCCTTTACCTTCCTGGTGTTGGGGTGTTTTTTTGTAACCTTTATTATGTTTGGGCAATAGCTTGATAATGATACATTAAAAAAAAAAAAAATTTGAATTATTCTTACAGTCATTTCTAGGGAAGACTATTATACAGAAAGTTTAATTTATGGTCTGCCTTAATTAAATAACTGCTGAGTTTCTGAACGAGAAAGTTAGTTACTGTGTTGCAGAACCTTTGTTTTTTATCAGAAATCATATCTCCATAATTTTTTTAATAGTTGATTTTTAGTCTTTCAATTAAATAAAATTATAGCTTAGCCTAAAATGGGATTGTGCTTCTTACTAAGTTTAGTTAATTTGCGCTCAGCCACTGGTTTGAGTGCAGCTTGGAGTTCAGCTATGGTGTCTGTCACATAATCTATTGAGAAGTGATGTATATGGATTATAGGGTCTGTTTCTTTCAAATTGACTGAAGGAGTATTGGCAAAGTAGGGAGAAAAGGGAAGATGGGCATACAGAAACAGAAGGTCAAGATGCGGGTTTAAACTTCCTCCTATTATTTGTGATCAACTTTTCGTGAGGAACAGGAAAAGAGTAACTTACTACTGTTTGGTAGTGTCAATCTTCAGTCTAAACGAGGGGGGGGGTGTGGTGGTGGGGGTGGTCATTCTTAAAAGGGCAGTATTTTTGTCCCTGTTGCACTTGCTCTTTCAGCTCACTTAGTTTGAGGATTCATGCTCAGGAAAGCTGAGTGAACTAAGATACACATAAATACGTTATTGCAAAATGAGCTTTTGGGTCTGAAGGCTCGTTACCAGGTGACTTAACACATCAGAATGCTAACATGATTCTTAAACTTTAAAATATGTAAAATACTTAAAATATTTGGTATTTTATATGTGAGAAATGAAGCTGATTCTGTACAGTGGTTTTAAAGTTCTAGATGAGATTTAGAATATCGTGGTGGTGTGTCGGTCTGCTGGAGTTTGATGTTGGCTTTTGTTTGCCTTGTGCGGACAAAGTGAATATCCGAGATTGTTGTGTGCTGTTTTGTTTTTCTGAGTAGGCGTCACAGTAATCTGTGGATTGAAACAGGAAACGTTTTAAATTCACATGTAACTAGATTGCATAAGCCAGGAAATTGTGTAGTGTGTTAGTTTGAGACAAATTTCTTCTCCTTTTTAATTACATTATAATACAGGAAAATGATTAACTGAACTCTGGTAGCAAATACATGATACTAACAACAGATCTGCAGTTGTAACTGGAGAGTGGGGGGAAAATACATGAATACACAAAAATGTAAGTGTGTGTTATGTCTAAAACCTGTCTGTATGCATATATATCAACAAAACAAAACCCTCTGCCTGAATATGATGTCCCCACAAGCTGCTTTGAAACTCCAATTGTAGGGTTTCCACATAAGAATGAGGTGCTGTACAGAGATACCTGACCGTGCTCTAATCCTCCTTGTAGGAGGATGTAGCTGCCTGACCCGTATTTCAGAGGAGGCTCACAGAGGCGTGCT